AGCACCGCTGGCTCCAGGAGAGGGCATTACAGTGGGTGCTGCAGCCTCCCTAGGCCTTGTGGTCTTTAGCTTCCCAGTGGCATTTCTCTTGGAAGCATTGGTGACACGTAGTGGGTATGTAGGTCAAATGATCGTGAGATGATTCAGTCTAATTCACAAAGAAGTAAAATAAAATAAGTCTGTATCTAGGCTGCTTCAGAAGGGCACACTTGAAGTCAACCAGCCTAAGGAGCTCCGGGAATTGAATTCAAGTGCAGAAACTCAAAGATGCAAACATCTATCTGGACCTTGTATTCAGTGGGGAGGAGGGATATCACCTCAGGAAGGATATTTGGAATAAGCAGAGTCTACAAAAAGTGGGATAAATGGTCAGAACAGCCCAGAAAGCTAAGAAATTTAAGGATAAAGTGAGAATTGCTAAACATTAAGACGTGTTAGACCTTGCAACGTTTAAGAAAAATAACAAAAGAAATAGAGAACAGGGACAGAAGCAGGGCAGCTAGTATGCAGTGAGGGGTGCAATGTGGGCCACAAACTGAGTAAATACTGGGTGTGTCTACAGGAGATGCTTTACTGCACAATAGACTAATTTACTGCGTAGTAAAGTGTCACTATTTATCCATATGCAAAGCTACTGCATTATAGGCTAATGTGCAGTTATCTACTACCTGAAAATACATGTAGTAGTAGATCAAGTGTACATTAGCTACTGTGCAGTAGTGCATGTGCAGATGCTGGCCAGGAGCATTTGCTCTGGGCCAGTCCAGGCACCAGGGGGCCCACTGCTGCCAGGCTAAGCCCCATGTGGCAGGAGCTGTGCTGGCTGCAGGGGCAACTGTCTCCCTGCCACATAGGGATGGGGACTGTCCTGATCACCACATGGCTGGGAGAGCTGTCCTGGCAGCCAGGACTGCTGCATCCCAGCCAAGTGGGACTCAGGACCCCAATAGCTACATGACCAAGAGAGGTGTCCCCACATGGCCAGAAGAAGCATCCTCACCTGGCAGAGACAGCCATGTGGGGATGGGGAGGGTCCTCTCCCAGTCACGTGGGGATCAGGACCCTCCCGATTCCCATATGGCTGCCTGGCAGCACCCCTCCCCCAGCCACTTGGGTCCAATCCCCACGTGGCTGGGATTCAGCAGTCCCAGCTGCTAGGACAGCTTTTCCCCTACACATGGTGATTGGGACCAGCTCCCTGCCCTTTGCCAGCGGGGAGCTGGCACCTCGGGGAGCCTGGAGCTCCCCCTGGCTGCTGCAACAAGGCAGAGCAGGGCAGGGGGGAGGGGGCACAGGGACATCCCTTGTCTCACCTGCTCCAGTTGGGAGCAAATTTGCCAGCACACATGTAAGACTTTTCCCCAGGTGCAATTTACTACTCCTTTTTTAATGTGCAGTAAGTGCATTTATAGCACATGTAGATGCACCCACTTCTCATTTTGCAGTAAGGAAAGTTAGGCTGACAGTGGAGCCAAAGGCAGGGTGAGAGGGTATGGAAATGGAAATGACCACGGCTGAATGGGAAACAGAATACTAAGAGCTCAATGTGCCCATGCAGGGGTGGGGGCTTGGCAGTCTGCATCCTGGAATTCTGAAAGACTCAACACCCACAATCACAGGTCTGGGAGCAAGGATTTGTAATTAATCTATCAAATCAAGGATTGTATCCTATGGCTAGAAAATAAATAGTGCCTGTATTTATTGAGAAAGGAGTGACCTGGGCAACTAGAGGCCTGTTTAAGTTGAGATTCTGCCCAAGTCAAAGGGCTAGTTGTGTTAGCATGGTTAAAGCAAGTCAGTTTCCAGTCAGCAGCACACAAAGGAGTGATGTGGCTAGTATCACCGCCAGCTCCTTTTAATTTCCCAGCCACAGAAACCTGGTATCTATTTATAGCTAAGTCAACTGTTGGCAGCTTTTGGCACAACTCCAAAGCAGGGCTCAAATTCACACTTTGAGCAAGACACCTTTACAGTTCCATCAGCACATCTGTTAGTCTGGCCTTACTAATATGAAGATGTTTTAATTAATTTTAATCGTTGCATTTTGAATTAATTTTGAAGACTAAAAATGAGGTATATGGAAAATGGGAAAAATTACAATACGAGTTTACAAAAGTTTAAACATTCCATCCTGCATCTTCACTAAGATAGCAGTCTTTCTAGACCAAGAACATGTAGTAGATCTCATTTGTCTGGACTTCAGAGAAACATTTGAAAGAACGTCACCTAGGAAATTATTAGCTAAACTGAAAGCAATGAATGCTATACAAGAACTGTTGGGTGAGTAAGGACCTGGTTAAAGGGAAGATGACAGCTGGTAGCATTGAAAGGGGAAATATTGGGCTGAATAACAGAAGGGAGTGCCTCCAGGATCAGTCTTGAGACTGAAATTATTATCTTTAATGACCTTGGCACAAATAGCAGGAGTGTGTTATCAACAAATTTCATTAACAAACTAATACTGATTGACCCAGTGCAGAGTACACCTTGGCTTAGTCTGCCCCCTTTCCTGCCTACACACAATATAGACCTGACCTCATCTCCAGTCCCATCTCTCCAGATCACAAAACAGGGATTCCACTCACTCCCAACCCTAGTGCTCCACACACAATATGGTTCCTCAGCTAGGGTGACCACCCATTCCTAATTGGGCAGGACAGTCCCAAAATTTAAAGGTCAAATCCTTGTCCCAGGCTGCTTGACTCCTGGACAGCATTTGTCCTGGGTTCCCCAGTAGCATGCAGGGAGTCGGGTTTTCCATTTGCTGTGGAAAACTGGGAAACAGCAGGTTTCCCCTTTCAGCCTGCAAGGGGCTGCTTGGGGCTAAAGGAAGCAAGACATGGGAGGAGCCACATGCATGTGTGCACTCACACATGTGGCCAGCAACACAGCCCCAGGCAGCAGGGGAGAGCAGCTCCCCCAGCTGCCTACAGGTAAGTCTGGGGTGGGGAGGCAGATTGAGGTCCCTATGGTGAGGGAGGGAGTGGGGCAGGGTTGGCAGCTGAGGCTGGGGATACTACCCAGCCGGGGTGGTGCATGGGGCCCAAGGTAGGAACATGCAGCTGCAGGACCCAGCCAGAGATTGGGACAGAGTCATGGGTGGTTCATTCAGTGGCGGGGCAGGGAGCGGCTCCCCTCTGCTGTGTGCAGTCCCAGGGAAAAAGACATGGAGGGGGGGTGTAGCCACCCCCTGCCCCCTCGCCCCCATCGGGCTAGGCTCAGCTCTGCTCCGTCTGTGCTTGGGGTGGGAGGGAGGTGGAAGGCAGGCATGTGTCCTGCTTTCTAATTTAGAAATGGTCACCCTACCCTCAATTCTTGACTCTCTCATTTCCACACACAACATGGACCTCCCCCATATCTGACCCAGACACACCCCACACACAATGTGGATCCCACTTGACCCTAGCCTCTCCCAACAAAAAATCCAGGCCTCTTTCTGCACAGTAGAGTAGCCAGTCACACCAGTTCTGGGAGAAGTGTCCCTTCTCCACTCACCACACAGATGTGAAGAACAACAGCACTTTATTCCTTCCATGTTCTCAGGGTGGCTAAGCTGCCATTGCCTGGAGAGTTAAGCTTCCACTGGGGGTACAAGAACACCTCTGACCGCCTGTGCCAGACCCGTGCTTGGTGCAGTGTGCAAAAAGGTGCCACCTTCCACACAAGGAAGGGCATGGGGGCCCAGGCAGGTTCACACACACATGCACAGTCAGTCTCAGCAAAAGTTGCTGGTAAATAATCTAGAAAATTGGCAGAAGTGTTGGACCAAAATACTGGTTATGCAGGGACAGGGCTGTCTGGGTGTATCGGTCAGGGTGTGAGGTCATCATTCATGTCAGAGTGCAGGAGTTCAACATTCAGGCCAGGTGTGGAGCCATCTGGGACCAGCAGTTAGGAGATTAGGGGAGCATTAGGGTTAGGGTACAAAAGGCAGTATTTAGGTTGGGGCACAGCGGCTTAGCAATAGTGTCAGGTATGGAGCCATTAGGACATAGGGGTAGGGGACAGTGTTAGGGCTGATGTGTGAGGGTAGCATTCAGGTCAGGGCTCAGCATAAGGATCGGGTATGGGGTTATCTGGAGTCATAGAGTGATGGCTGTATTTGGGTCAGGGCAAAGGGACCAGGGGACTGTTAGGGTCGAGCATAGAGATCAGGGGATTGTTAAGACTGGGGTGTAGTAGTCAGGTGGTGAAACCAGGGTTTGGGTCAAAGTGCAGCAGTAAGGGCAGTATTGGGTCAGGGCACAGGGTCTCTGTATTACCATCAGGTGAGAGATCTGGAATTCAGAGTGGGACTGCACTTGTGTTAAGGCAGCTCTAGTCCAGCTCCATGTAGGCAAGGAGGCAGGGACCATTAAGATTAGAAATGGAGGTGCTGGGAGCAGAGGGCAGAGGCAGGGTTCAAAATCAGTGTCCAGGTGTAGGTGTTCAGAGTCAACCTGAGGCCTGGCCATATCTGCATCCTGGGGGCTCTGCCAGGCTTCAAGGGTGCTGTGAAGAATGGAAAGTTGGCTCAGAGGAGGAGGCGCTAGCATTGGAGGAGTAAGCCAATGCCTGCATGTTGTGCTGCTCTTGTGCTGTGTGGTAAGTGTTTCCTTGGACTCCTCCCAAGCAGCAGCTTGAGCTAGGCAGCTCACTTTCTGTAGCCCACTTCCCCTCTGTAAGGCACAGCAGAATCCGGTGTCCTGTGCTGGTGCTCTGCCCTCAGCGTGACATCATCCGCACAAACTCTGCCAGAGAGTCAGGGACACCATCAGAAAAGAACTCAGGAGTCTCTACCCCCAGCCTCCCCTGCTTGAACCCAATGGACCCTACTCCCCCTCCCCAGAAGGACCAAGAACCTGAGAATTCAGGCACCTAGCCTCCCTGCTCTGACCCACTGGACCTCAATTCCTCCCAGAGAATCAGGTGAAGTGGATGGGCTGGGAGGGTCCCCTCCCCTCAAAGTCGACCAGGCCGTCACCATTGAGATCCACGTCCTTGAGGATCTCATCCACCTCACGGTAGTTCAGCTGCTGCCCCAGCAGCTTGCGCATGGCCTCCCGAAGCTCTGCCATGCTGATCTGCCCATCCCCATTGGTATCGAACTGTGGGGAGAGCACTGCTAGCCAGCCCCAGCACTGCCCTGCTGCTTGCCTCTATCATTTGGGGCTGTCTTCCCCACTGGCTACTGCTTCTATGCCAACCTTGCTGCCTGCCTCTCAGTTCTTGCCCCACCACCAGCCACTACCCTCCACTGCTCCATCCTCCTTCCCCCACTGGCTACACCAATGACCCAATGCTGGGCCCAGTTCTCTAAGCACCACACCATTGGTGCTGCTGACAGAGCCACCACCCACACCAGCCATCTGTCCCCAGCCATCTACACCCTTACCCACCCGACCCCAGCCCTGCTACCTATGTCCTGGTCCCCTGGCCCCTCATGCTAGCCCCACATTGTGACTGCCTACAACCCCACTGAAGTCACTTGCTTCTCCTCAGCTGTCCCATTCACCCTTACCTCTCTGCTGGTCTGTCCCTTGCTCCAAAGGCATCCACCAGCTATTCCTCTGCCATGACTGCCTGCCCCTAGCTCTATTGCCTGGTCTCAACACCCACACCCTCCCCACATGTCTTGTAGCCCCCATGCCTTCCCAACAGGCCCAGCTGGGGACTTCACCAAGCCACTCCAAGGACAAGTGGTGCTGCTGGGAGCCCTGCACCTCACCTTGGTACTGGGCCAAGACCTCACCTCACGGAAGGCATCGCGCAGCTCCTTGATCCCAATCATGTCAGCTGTCTCTGCCAGCATCTTTGGACCCATCAGCTCCACAAAGTCATCAAAATCCACCTTCCCCCCAGCTGCCAGGCAGGAAAACATTACTGGGGTTTCAAAGGAGGTAGGCCCTTGGGTGGGGTGCAGGAAGCATTAGCCCCATGGGATGTGGGGAATGGACTCTGAGCAGGAAGGTTACCACCAGCACAAAATCCATATGCCCCACTGCTGGGCTGTGTGAGGTTAATGGGCACCAATGGGCCAGGGCAAGGCTGTGAGAGACCCGACAGGGACTGGGACTGGGCCTGGGCAGGGCTGGATCAGACCCCATAGGACTCATCCCAGGGTAGGGTGGGTCTCATTAGCTTAGAAGGGAGCATGGTCCTGGGGCATCAGGCACAGCTCCAGTTGGATGGTGCTGAGCAGTGGGTGCATTCTGGGAGTAGAAATGCTTGGTGGGCTTGGCAGGGGCACGTACAGATCTGCTGGGACAGCTCGATGAGCTCCATCTCAGTGGGCATGTAGCCCATGGTGCGCATGCACTCGCCCAGGTCCTTGTAGCTGATGAAGCCGTCACGGTCTTTGTCGAATTCCCGGAAGGCCTGCTTCAACTCTGCGGGAAAGGAAGGTGCTGACAGCCCTGGACATGGGCCTGCTCCTCAGCCAGGAGGAAGCCCGGTGCCCACTGTCAGGACTCCTGCTCAGTCTCTGACAGGGACACAGGGCTTCAAATCAAGTCCCCTGAAACTGTCTCATGGCCTATCTGCACCCACCCACCAGGGAAGAAGCATGGAGCCCTGGGACCTGGTAATAAGTTGGGGCTGCTGAAATGGAAAGGTCCCTGCCCTGTCCCCACTCCCTTAGCCACACATTACCCCCTAAACCTTGACTGGGGACAGAACCGCCTGGAGAGGAAAGGTCCTGCACCCTGTTCTCTGTGCAACATTTTTCCCCAGGCATGTCCCCCATGGTCCTGTCTCCTCCTTTACCTTCAATCTCCTCTGGCCGCAGATCTCGGTCCTAAGGGAGAAGAAATAGAAGCAGTCAGGAAGTGGCAGGTTCTATGATCCCTTTCTTCCCCCCAGCCACATGTTCTGATGAACCAGCTCAACAGCCTCACTGTATGGACCCCAGGCCATGCTGTGGCCCTGCTATAAAGCCACATTACACTAGGTGCAAGGCTGTTGCTTTTGGTAGTTGTCAGGGATGGAGTAGCTATGGGAATGGGAGGTTGTGCTGCAGGGATGAAAACGCAGGATGGCAGAAGATCGATGCTGTATGGAAGGAATTGTGGGAAGTCTACGGGGCTCTCCAACAACATGATGATGGCAGGTGGGATGTGGTGGCAGCATGGTGCCCAAAGATAGGGCAGCAGTGTATGATGCTGGGATCTGGGTGTGGCAGGGCAGGCAGGACGGCAGTCAAGAGACATTAGCTGGAGGGGCTGGCAACACAAGGGCAGTTCAGGACACAAGGTAACAGCATAGGCAAGTAATGATGCCGATGAGGCTGGGGGAACTAGGTGTGCGTAAGTATGCAGGTGTGCATACAAGCCAAATGATGGGACAGTGACAGTGCAGGATGTGGAAAGGTGGTAGGTTCTAGAGGCGTACATATGATTTTGATGGTAGGGTCAGGTAGGTGGGAGATGGATTTGAGCAGACAGTGGGGATTCACAGGGATGCATGTAGATAGGGTGATTGGGTTGCAGAGGCAGCTGTTGGGCTAGCAAGGAAGGCAGCTGTATAGGTATACATATGAATGGGATGGTGGGCTGTGGGACATGGTAGATGAGCACAGCAGTGCAGGAAGGCATACAGGCAGACATAAACTGTGTGGTGTGATCAGAGAAGCAGCAGGCTAAGTTGAGTGGTGGAGCAGAGCAGTGGCACTGAGGGAGTTCGGTGGGGGCAGGCAGGCACAATGATGCAGACAGGTGCATAGTCATATGTACACGCTGGACAATGAGTCAAGGAGACAATAGTAGGCAAAGCAATGTGAGCAGGTGCACAGGCATACAGATGTGTTGGGTGAGGCAAGTCCACGGGTAGTGCAGGTATGTTCTTGGTGGTGGGTCAGAAAAGTGGCAGGTGGGCAGCCGTACGTACAAGTTGGGTGATGGCGATGCTCTGCCGCAGGAAGATGCACGCTGGCCCCACCAGCCCATGCAGGACCGAGTAGCTCTGCAGTGGCGGGGACTGTGCAGCATCAATCAAGTCCTCAGGGTCGTAGAGGCCGGGTGCTGGGGCACCTGAGCGCTGCTTACTGTCCTAGGGCAGGACAGAGCTGGCAATTAGCAGCAAGCAGCAAATTGCAGCCTGAGACCCAAGAGATGGGGGTGGAGGGGGCTGTACTGAGAGTTGCATGTAGACTGAAAGAGGCAAGAGGCCCAAGACCAAACAGTGAATAAGCACTACCATGTCAACACACCCAGCACCCAACAACTGTGACCCACCACCCACATGACTGGCACCAACCCACCACAAAGCATCAAGACACCAGCAGTGTCCAGCCCCATGTCCAGCAGCAAGACACACATTGCGCCAACACGCACAGTGCTAACACATGTCTGGCAGTGATGTATGTGCATGGGATCACATGCACCCAGAAATACACCTGGAACCAACACACACACACTGCTGGATCCAGCCCTAACACATTCACTCAGCCTTGCCCTACCCCTTCAGCATACCCTGATCCTGCACCCACCTCCCACTCACTTGTACAATGCAGGAAGGAGTGCCCTGGGGCAGACGTGGAGCTTGGGCCATAGGTGGGGGAAGTTAGAAATCAGTGAGCTGCTGTGGGACATGTTCGGGATGGCAGTAGTCCAGGAGCAACAAATGGGGGCAGTAGGCCCCAAGCCAAGCACAGACCTGTAAGAGGGCCTGGGATCCTTGAACATCCCTTCCCCATGGAGTTAGAGTGCCTTGTGAGTAGATCATGGACATAAGGGGCTGGGCCTTGGCTCTAGCAGGGAAGACTTTGGTATGAGCTGCCCCAGATAGAATCTCTAGGCATTGACAGGCTCCCTGGGAAGACGATCATATCACAACTCCCCCACCCCATAGTCTACTCCCAGTAAGTAAAGAGGCTCACTGGCCTGTCACTGACCCCAGCAAAACTCCAACACCAGCCCCAGGAAATGGGTCCTCAGGACTCTGCCCCAGTCCTACCTTCCCTATAACCAGCTGCCAGAAAGAACAAGCCCTGTGGCACTGCACAGAGATTGTCTTTCCCCCGGCCATGGGAGAAGCTGGGCTGGTACTTGGACAGTGGTCTCATGAGTGCTGGCCTGGGATGGCTCCATCCTGGCCTTACCTTAGAGAGTCTCCTCTCAGGGGTCTTGGTGCAGTTGCCCATGGTGTGTGGGCCCCGCCGTGCCAGAGGGCATGCCTGTACAGGCAGCGTAAGGCTGGGGCTGGCGCTGGCCCTGGCCTGCTGCAGTCCCTGGGGCTGGTGTTCTCACCGGGGCCGGCCAGCCGGGGATGGGTTTTTTATAGTAACACTGGCTTGTGGCTGCCTGGGGATTTGAGGTTTTTATTGAATATCTCTGGATATGCAGGACGCAGGGAGGGGGGTAGGACAAGGACACACAAGCATGCTCTCTCTCTCTCTCTCTCCCTCTCTCTCTCTCACACATACACACACACATGCTCACAAACACATAATCCCTAAGATTACTCTCCACTCAGGCTGCTCCAGACATGGGGAGACACCTGGCAGCTCCCCAAATCACCTGACATGCCCTGCCCTGGCATAGCCAGAACATTCACACTGTCCTGTTCCCTCCTTGGCCTCCTGCTCCCCACCCTCCCGCCCTCACACCTGCTTGCCTGAGCGAGGCAGGCGCCTGCTCTGGGGTGCTGCTCCCTCAGCCTGCCCAGCTGCCACACATCCCTAATCTCCTGCAACAATCACAAGGAATGTACAAATCTCTCCCGATGCTGCCCATGTCCTGAGCACAGGCAGATTATCCCATACTCAGGGAAGAAGGGCCAAAGCAAGGCTGGCCTCTACCCAGAAAATGTGAGACTGCAGCTGGTAAGACTCTGAAGAAAGCGGGGCGAGGGGGTCGGGACAAGGTGGGGGAGGCTTTAAGGACAGGGCCACTATAAATGGACATCCTGGTGACTCCGACCCTGGACTTTCCTAACAGGGGATGTGGGGAAAGGGAACAGAAGTGCTGGTCATGGAAGGAGCTCCAGTTCCTCCAGCACAACAGGGAAATACTCCATCACTGTTTTTCTGTACCCAGGGCCTGCTGAGCAGCCACAGGTACATGAGAGGGTGTAGGGCCCGCAGTGCTTTTCCCCCCTGCTATATGCATGCTCAAGGTCTGGTGTCCATCCCAAGGTCTCCTCATTCTGGGGGAGCTTGTGGGGGCCTCTGTGGCTCTGGGATCCTGCACTGCATGGGCCATAGGGGTTATGCTGGACACCCCGGGGCCTGCATAATCCCTATGTGTGGCACTTACAGGGGTGGGAAAGACCTCACCCACTCTGAGCCCCAGATGTGTACCTGCTGACATTGCTGCAGCCTATCCAGCCCAGATAGGTTTGGTTCAGCCCAGCCTTGGAAACCTTCACCAGTCATACTGCAGCCAGGGCTGGAAGTGCCCCTCCCTCCCTCCGTGACACCATCTGCTACTCCCTGCCCTGCTCCTCCCATCAGTCCAGGTGCCGTGACCTTGCCGTCCCCACCACCTGCTTGCCCCCGTGTGTCCAGTCACCTGCCCAAAGACGGAGCTGAGCAGCAGCACCATGTCCTCTGTGCCCAGGGCTCTCTCTCCAGAGCCTGCCCCGGCCTTGCCTGATGGCTCTGCCTTGTTCTTTCGACTACAGGTTCCACGCAGGGCCCAACCGGGCAGGGTTTCTCCTGCTGAGGCAGCGCAGACACCAGCCTTGGGCCCCACTGGCCTCAACTGCTCCAGGCACCACTGCTCATCCTTGCGGCTGCGGATGCCCCTCCTGCACCAGGCCTTCTTGTTATCTGATGGCAGGCGGGAGCCACCTGGGCGAGGCAAATGAGGGGGCCGCAGCTCAGGAGTCTCGCTGCTCAGTCGCTGCGTCTCACGGAAGAAAATGAACATGCCGTGGGGCAGCTGGGAGGCAGCCCACCTCCTTCTGCCACTCCAGCCACACCAAACTTCCTCACACCTTCACCTCCTGCAGACCCTTTGTCCCCTTAGTGCTATTGCCCACCTCTTCCTCTTCCTTCTGCTGTCTCCAGCCCCTGCAGCCCTCCCTCGCGTCTCTTTTTCCTTCTTCTTCCACTGGGCCCTCCAACTCTCCCCACAATCCTCCTGCCACGTCCCCTTGTTGCCTTCCTTTCTATACTGCTCCTCTTCACTTCTCCTCTAGCTTGGCTCCCTTGTGTCTTCTGCTGCTGTGCTCCCCTATCTCTGTGCACGGCTGGGCTGGAGTGGCTCCTCTGCAGTCTGCTCCGGTTCTCTGATGACTCTTTTCCAGGGCAGCACCGCCTCCCTCCCCCTCCGAATCAGGTTCCCTCATTGCTGGGAGTGTGATTGCAGGGGATGGGGGAAACTGGAGCTGAGGGGTCAGACACAAGACCGTGATAATGTAATCAGGTAAAACAACCCTGCACAGCCCGAAACTGGAGAGCGCGTGGTCTGGCTAAAGGATGAGCCAAGAAATGCATTGCAGCCATACCTGCCCCAGCTTCTTCCAGCAGGAGGCCCTGTGGGGGACAGGGCAGAAGTGCTGGCTGTGGGAAGAGCTCCCCCTAATTCTAGACCCAGCAAAGGAAGTTGAGGAGGACCCTAGGGTAGGAGCATTGCTGGTTGTGGGGGAGCTCCTGACTACTCCAGCCCTGGAGTCTTCCAGCAAGGGGCAATGTGCGGTAATGAGGCAGGAGCACTGGCTACAGTGAAGGCTCATTTTCCTGCTCTGCTCTGGTACAGGGTCTCTGGCTGTAAGTTGTAGACTGTGGGATGTCCCCAAGGAGATGTTCCTAGCTGGGGAAAGGGTGTCCTGTGATGGCAGGGTGTGGGTGAGCAGGGAGAAGGGTGTTCCTGCCAGCATGTGGCTAAAGGGGGCTCTGATTTCAGGCCTTTTGTGCATCAGTAACCCAATTCTGCTTATCCAATACGGAGAAACCTGAGATAGTAGGCACTGGTCCAGCCCTGCCCCGTCCCCTTTCTCCTCCTCACCAACCTTTCCCACCTAAGTCTGCTTTTTGCTATGATCACTCATTCTCTCCTGTGGTCCTCTCCTTCCCAGTCTAATGATGCTGGGGCAGATGCTGCTGGGTTAGCAGGAGGCACTCAAAGCATGCAGTTTACCACTAAGCAGACTGAACCTTGCTGTCTGCCCCACTGCTCTGTACACCTCCTGCTTGGCCTGGGCACTATGCCCACCCCACATAGTCTCATGGTTTATTCAAGCCAGAGGCTGCTGATTCCCCAAGGCTGTAAACAGAGCTGTCCCCAGAGCAAGGGCCATGGCTGTGGCAGTACACCCGGTCCGTTCATTTGTCTGAGGCTGTTCCTATGTCCTGCCTGCAGTTTGTCTATGCCAATCCTGGAATTGCAACCTGTTGCTGGGAGTCCAGGAGAAATCTAGGGGTCACACCCTGACAGTCTATCAGCAGGAGGGTACTCTCAGGACGTACCTGCTGACCGTGCAGGTTTGCAGTTGTCCAGAGCTAAGTATGACAGACAGTGGCTGGCTCTGCCATCCTGCCATCACACAAGCCACCTCCCCAACAGATGCTATCCATCAGTGATGAGCAGCATAGTTACTGCATCACTATGCTGAACCCAGTAGTCCAGGCAAGGGTCTGTGCAGCACACAGCAGGATGGAGAGCTTCCCTTATGACAATGCTGCTCCAGCTGGAAAGGAGAAACACTAGGCTAATTAGCTACCATTGCCACGTTCTCTATGATCACAGGCAGGGCAGGAAAGTGACTGGAGTTGTCTTGGTCCGCCTTGTCTGTCCTATGAGGGTCTTGGTGGGGGTGGCTAGGGCCTACATGGGTACAAGCCAGACTTAGCTGCCCTTGACTCAAGGTCTCCTGGCTGGATCTCAGTAGCCAAGAAAGGCTCCCCAGCTCTAGGACAGGGCCCATTGCACCACAAGAGCATCTCCCACAGCAGGTACAGTATCCACCAGGGTCCACATGCCACTGGAGCCAATGAGGGGCAACCCAGAGCCCCGGTACTGAGGAATCTAAGGATGCACCCTGGTAGAGAACACAGGCCAAGGCCAACAAGGGGTGGGGGGACCTAATAGCATCAGCAGAGCCTACAGGCAGAGCATACACTGGAAGTTAGTGACAGCTGTAGGAGGGTGCAGCTAGCAGCAGCAAGACTGTGCAGCTAGCAGCAGCAACCATAGAAATCAGGTCAGTCAGGGGAAGTGGCAGGGGAACAGAGAGCAGCCAGCACCCTGGAGGGAGGGGGAAGCACAGAGCATGTGGAGAGGAGAGGCACAGCTCCAGGCCACACAACTCCCTACAGTCCCTGCCCCACATTTGGTGCAGACAGGTGAGAAGCCGCTGCTGCTGATGGAAAGGGGCAAAGTGGAGACTGAAGATGAAATGCGTGACAATGGAGAACAATGCAGTGAAGAGTCCTCCAACATGGAGAATATGGAGGACATGGGTGAGCAGGAGGAGAAGGCAGTACTGCTTCTGCAAATGCTGCTTACCTGGGCATCTCGGCTGCACCACTTGATATGGATAAGAATGATGACAGACTATTCAATGGCAAGGTGTGTTACTGCTTTAACAGCAAGAATAATAGCGATAAAAAGAAGAAGATACAGATACCCAGAGGATGTAGAATACCCAGAGGAAAGTGAAGAAGTGGAGGATGACTGGGCACTGTTGAGAAACCTGAGGAGGACCAGCATCCGCATGGTGTGGGCCCGCGACAGCAGCTCGGACTGGTGAGAGCAAATCACCCTGACGACTTGGAACAACCAGCAGTGGCAGATGTCCTGAATGAAAAGGGAGATATTCCATCATATTGTCTCGATGTTGGAGCCCCATATCATGAGGCAGGACACTAACATGCATCAGGCCATCCCACCAGACAAGAGGGTTGCAATGGCCATCATGAAACTGGCCAGCCCATCCAGCCTCCGCTGCATTGCAAACCAGTTCAGCGGGGCTGCCTGCACAGCCGGGCTGGCAACTCGTGAGGTATGTCACCTGCTAAAGAAGATTGCTTCAAACAGAATTATCCGCCTGGCAAATCCACAGCAAGTCATAGATGGCTTCAATGCCAAGGGGTTCCCAAACTGCATGGGGGCTTTAGACAGCACTCACATCCCAGTGCTGTGCCCTGGCAGGTGTGGGGGTGGGGGGGTAGCTTTCACAAACAGGAAAGGATATCAT